GAACAGACAGATCTACTAAAATCCGCTGCTGAGAGGAGCAGCCAGTAAGACAGGAAAGGTCTGTAGCACCTGTGGGTCAGCTCCCTGGCCAGAGATGGAACTCATGATAGTGGCTGGTGGTAGCTTCATAGTGCTGATACTTAACTCCTGCACCACCGGTGAGGCCCTCCATTTATTTATTTTTTTAATATAGTCCCTCACCATTGTGTGGTTTTGATTTGCATTTCCTTGACAACAAGTGATGTTGAACATTTTTTCATATGACTCTTTACTGTCAAATCTATATGTTTTTGTTTCCTTTTCTTACTGTATTGACTGAAATCCACTGCTATGTTGGGTAAAATTAGTGAGAGTAGACATCCTTGCTTGGGTCCTGACTTTAGGAGGAACACACTCAATATTTTTTTTATTTTTTATTTTTAATTCTTTTTTATTTTACAAAAGTTTATTTTTACATCATTTTGTACATTTTTTTTCCATCTCAATTGTAATCCCTGCGGGTTTCCCATCACCAAGTCACCCGTGTGCCACCACCATAGTCCCGTGCATTTCCCTCCCTACCCCCCCCCCCCCCGTTTTTGATTCCATTCCCCACTCCACCCCCACAGAATGTCTCTGGTCTATGGTTGTTCATTATTTTTGTTATTTTCTCGCCTGGTCCATTATACTCCTGCTATGAGTGAAACCATCTGGTATTTTTCTTTCTCTTTCTGGCTTATCTCACTAAGCATGATCTTTTCCAGCTCCACCCAAGTTGCTGCAAAAGACATGTGTTTCTCTTTTTTGGTTGCTGAGTAATATTCCATTGTATATATGTGCTACATCTTTTTTATCCAGTCATCTACTTTTGGGCATTTGGGCTGCTTCCATGTTTTTCCAATTGTAAATAAAGCAGCAATAAACATGGGGGTACAGGTATCTTTTTCAATCAGTGTTTTTGTGTAGATACCTAGGAGTGGGATTTCTGGGTCGTAGGGAAGCTCCATGTTTAGCAGTTTGAGGAACCTCCAAACAGTTTTCCATAGTGGTTGTACTAGTTTGTATTCCCACCAGCAGTGCAGGAGAGGGAACACACTCAATATTTAACTTTTAAGTATAATATTAACAATAGCTATTTCATAGATGTTCTTTATCAATTTGATGACATTGTTTTTCTGAGAGTTTTTACCATTATTGGGTGTTGAATTTTGTCATATACTTTTTCCCTGATCATGTGCTTTTTTTTTTTTTTTTTTGCCTGTAAATTTGGTAGATTACATTGTTTGGTTTTCTAACATTGAATCAGCATTGAATCCTTGAAATAAACTCCATTTTGTTATGGTATATAGAGGTTTTTTTAATATATTGCGGGATTCTGTTAGCTGATATTTTGGTAAGAAGTTTATTTCTATATACGTAAGGGATGTTTTATACATTTTGGTGTTGGCTTTGTCTAGTTTTGGTATCAGTATAACTTTTCTGCATTTATTAATATAAAAATTATGATTTTTTAATTAATTCTGTTAATGTGTGAAATGCATTGATTTTTTTTTAAATTTGTCAAACCTTGCATTCCTGGAGTAATCCTAAATCAAATATTTTTCTGGATTTCATTTGTTAATTTTTGTTTTAAAGATTTATTTATTTATGCATACAGAACTGGAGTACAGGCCAGAGGTGCAGGGGCGGTGAGAGGATTCACCAGAGACAGAGTGGGGAGAAGAACAGACTAACTGACAAAGTATAATGCTGAGGGGAGCAGCAGGTGAGTCAGGAGAGGTCTGCTGCACCATGTGGGTCACCTCCAGGGCGGGGATCAAATTCATGCTGACGTGGCTTTAGCTTCTTAGTGCTGTGCTTTAACCAGCTGCGCCACCAGGGAGGGCCCTCTTAATATTTTTTAATAAGATTTTTGGTCTGTATTTGTACAGAATGCTGATTTTCTTTTTGTTTACTCATAATACCTTTGCCAGGCTTTCCTATCAGTGTTATGCAGCCATTGTTGGACAAGTTAGGAGGTGTTTTATTCACCGATATTTCCTGGAAGTTTGTGTAAGATTGGCCTTGTTTCTTGACATATTTGATAAATTCACTGGTAAAGCCACCAAGGCCTGGAGTTTTATTTGTTCAAAGGTATTAAATTAAAATTCTGTCATTTTTCTTAAAAATAAGCTTTTATCTTTTACAGCAGTTTTAGGGTTATAGCAAAATAGAGCAAGCGGAAACAGACCTATACCCCCATACATATTCCTGCCCCCTAGACCCCATACACCTGGCCTCCAGCAGCAGGGTTGAACACATCTGTCATAATGGTTGATGAATATACATTGACACATCACTGCTACCCAGTGTTCAAATTTTACATTAAGTTTCATTCTTTGTGTTTTTTTTTTCTTTGGGCTTTGTCATATGTGTAATGACATGTATCTGCCTTTATGGCAACATATAGAATAGTTGTATTTCCCTATAAATCCCCTGTGATCTATCCTGTTCGACCTCTTCTTGACAAACCTTTGCAGCCACTTATGTTTTTATTGTCTATATAGTTTTAACTTTTCCAGAATGTCATATAACTGGAATATATATAGCGTGTAACCTTTTCAGATTGACTTCTTTCATTTAGTAATATTGGTCTCCATTATCTGCATTTACCACACTTTATCCATTCATTCATAAAGAAGATTTTGATTGCTTCCAAATTTTGGCAGTTGTTGATAAAGCTTTTGTAAACATCTATACTCAGGTTTTTGACATAACATTTTCAGCTCGTTTAGATAAATACCAAGGAATATTGTTGCTGGGCTATATGTTACAAGTGTAAAAAAATGTCAGACAGTCAAGTGGCTGTATGGTTATATGCCATTTTGTGTTCTCCCAGCATTTAATGAAAATTCTGTTCCACATCTTCACCAGCATTTGATTTTTTTTCAGTGTTTTGGCTTTCATAATAGATAGGTAATAATAGGTCATTGTAATTTTGATTTGTATTTCCTAATCTTATGATGTGAGACAACTTAATGTTTATTTGCCATCTTCTTTAGTGAGGTATCTGCTGAGATAAAAACTTGGCCTGGCCCTCCCTGGTGGCGCAGCGGGTTAAAGCACTGCACTGAGAAGCTAAAGCCACTTCCGCATGAGTTCGATTCCTGCCTGCCCCGGAGGTGACCACATGGCGTGGCAGACCTCTCCTGACCCGCCCGCTGCTCCCCTCAGCAGTGTACTTCGTTGATCTGCCTGTTCTGCTCCCCACTCTGTCTCTGGTGAAGCCTCTCACCGCCCCGAGCCTCTGGCCTGTACCCCAGCTCTGTATGCATAAATAAATAAATCTAAAAAAAAAAAAAAAACTTGGCCCATATTTAAATTGACTTGTTCGTTTTCTTATTGTTGAGTTTCCAAATTCTTTGTATATGTGAAACAATGGTCCTTTATCAGATGTCTTTTGCAGATATTTTCTGCCAGTCTATATGACTTGTCTTCTCATTCTCATGGCAGATTCAAATTTAGAATAGATATAAAGATACTCAAGTTTTCTATTTCTTCTTGTATCAATTTTGGTAATTTGTCTTTGAAAGAATTTCTTTCATCTAAGTTGTCAAATTTATTGGCATAAATTTATCATTTTTTAAAAAAAATTTATTTATTTGTGCATACAGAACTGGGGTACAGGCCAGAGGCTCAGGGGCAGTGAGAGGCTTCACCAGAGACAGAGTGGGGAACAGAACAGGCAGATCACCGAAGTACACTGCTGAGGGGAGCAGCGGGTGGGTCAGGAGAGGTCTGCCACACCATGTGATCACCTCTGGGGCAGGTGGGAATGGAACTCATGCAGAAGCGGCTTTAGATTCTCAGTGCTGTACTTTAGCCCGCTGAGCCACCAGGGAGGGCCCATAAATTTATCTTTTTAATGCCTGTAATTCCCTTTTGTCCAATCCTGATATCTGCATGCTGTTAGCTGATGTTTCATATCTCTTGACTAATTAGGGGAAAATCAACTTTATTAACATTTTAAAAGAACTCACTTTATTTTTTCTCAACTATTTCTTATTTCATTGATTTGTGTTCTTTATTTCCTTTGTAATATTTGTGGGTTAATTTGCTCTTTTTTCCTAGCTTCTTGACATGGAAGTTTCAATTATTGTTTTTTTTAAACCTTCCCCCATTTCTAATAAAAGCATTTCAAGGTATAAATTTCCCTTTAAGCACTGTTTTAAGTTCAACCAACAAATGTTGATATTCGTCATATTTTCATTATTATTGAGTTTTGTTATTTTCTATTTTCCCTTTTGATCTCTTCTTCAATCCACAGGATAGAGATTTTTGCTGAATTTCCCTAACTTAGGGATATTTTTAATATTACTGATTTCAGACTTAATTCTGTTATAGACAAAAAATATATTCTAATTTCAATCCTTTGAAATGTATTGATACTATTGATAGTTAAGGCCCAGCTGATGTTGGTGAACAGTCCATGTGAATTTGAAAAAAAAGTATATTCTGTAGTGATTAGTTTTCTGTAAGCATGTTTATGTAGTTGTCTTTTTTTTTAAATTAAGGTAACATTGGTTTACAGCACTGTTTCTGATTCAGAAATATAGGACACATAGTTTTATATAATGCCTCCAACTTTAAAATTTTTTTTTGTCCACAGTTTATCGTTATTAACAATAAGGATTTGCCTGATACAAAATCCATATTTTTACGTGATTTCTTTATAATATAGTAGTCTCTTTGAAAACATTGTGATGGCAGATGTATTATAGTGTAATAGGTTGTAAACAGTTATAGTTTCTGTGTGATTTGATTTCTAGCTTAATATTATGTTTGTACAAGGCTTGTACTTTAATTACAAGGTCTTTATATATTAAATGATATTGCTTACCATTTATATGCATATGCCTGAAAATATAGGGTTTTTGTTTTAGCACCTCAGTTAAGAATATGACAGACTATGAGATTAAGCAACACTTAGTATAGAGTCTAACAAGTATGCTGAATTTAATTAAAACTGTCTGTTTCTTAAGGTACACTGCATGCTTCCTTCTCTTCTCGGCAGTCTCACATCTAAAACATGGCTACGGATTGGCTAGGGAGTATTGTGTCCATCAACTGTGGAGATAGCTTGGGTGTCTATCAGGGAAGAGTGTCAGCAGTGGATCAGGTGAGCCAGACCATTTCTCTCACCCGGCCATTCCACAATGGAGTGAAGTGCCTCGTGCCAGAAGTCACCTTCAGGTGAGTATCCTGATTTTCCCCTGTTTAATCTTGTGGTCTTTGGAATTTGCATTTAGTTTTAATTATCAATATTCTTTCTAGAGTTGTTTTTGAATCGTCTTGTCAGGAGTGAGATTTTAGTTTTAGGACTTACAGTCCAAGATCTGTTTCAGCTTAGACTTTGTGTTATAATTACCTTTCACCTAATGATTCAGGCTTCATGAAACATTTTTCTTGTCTCTGTCAAGCACACAGTATTTTATTATCTGATGAGTCAAATTCAGAATAATCTTTTCCCTTTGGTTTAGAGCTTGTTCCCTAACTGTTGAAATTCTCTTTTCTTTTAGTTTTTCTGTCACCCTTTTGGATTTGCTTTTAATATATTCCTCCATTTCTTTACATTCTCCCCTTCCCACACGTTCCTTTTCTTCTACTCATTTCTTAAGTTTACTCACAGTTCTATCTTTGATTCTTTTTTCAGTCTGCTTTCTCTCTAGTCAGATCTCTTTATGAACCTTTCCATAGGCTAATGCCACCACAAATCTTTTAATTTAGACCCATTAACTAAGCTCCAGCTATTTTTTTAGAAGATTTATTTATTTATGCATACAGAACTGGGGTACAGGCCAGAGGTGCAGTGGCAATGAGAGAATTCACCAGAGACAGACTGGGGAGCAGAACAGGCAGATTGAGGTAGTACACTGCTGAGGGGAGCAGTGGGCAAGGCAGGAGAGGTCTGCCGCGCCATGTGGGTCACCTCCAAGGCCTCATGAGGATCGAACTCACAGTGGCTGCGGTTCGCTTGCAGTGCTGCTCTTTAACCCACTGTGCCACCAGGAGGGCCAGCTCTAGAGACTATTTTAATTGTCAACTAGTCATTTCCCATTGGATATTCCATAAAACATCTTTAACTTAAGATTTTCAAAGCTAAACTTATTTTATTACTTGCAGATTTCTTCTTACAAAGATTTGCCTTTAATTGGTGACTAATGATGCTGTTCATCCAAGTTAGGAGCTTAAGAATCATAGTAAATTCTAAAGTTCAGTTAGTCAGCAAAATCTTGGGGATTACCAAGGTCTGTTGGTTCCATTCTCTTCCCTTTCTCTGCATTGTCATTTGGCCTCCTCATACCCTCTTGTTTCTTATGTGGTCTCTTTTTTTTTAAAGATTTATTTATTCATTTGTACAGAACTGGGGTACAGGCCAGAGATGCGGAGGGTGAGAGGATTCACCAGAGACAGAGTGGGCAGCAGAACAGGCAGATTGACGAAGTACACTGCTGAGGGGAGCAGTGGGTGGGTCAGGAAGGGTCTGCCGCGCCATGTGGTCACCTCCAGGGCGGGCGGGGATTGAACTCATGCTGTAGCTTCTCAGTGCTGTGCTTTAACCCACTGAGCCACCAGGGAGGGCCCTTGTCTGGTCTCTTAATTGGTGCTCTTGCCTCTTTAAGTTTCTCTACCTTCCTACCCACCAGAAAAAGCTAGTGATTAAGGCTGCTTCTGTGGCCCCTGATTACTTCCTAGTGATCCTTTTTGAGCACCCTTCCCTTCGGGCATCACCACAAGATTTGCATTTCCTCAAGTGGGCCATATTGCTCAATTTCTAAGCTTTGACTTCAAATACTCTTCTCCCTGCTATTCTCTGTTTGCATTCTGGAAATCTAAGATGCTAAGGATCGTTTTATGATTAATAATAGGTCTCATTAAAAGCCGTTGCTTTGGCATTTGAATGTTGTGGCTGAACTTTAATTGCTCTCCCATTTTTTTTTCTAGCTTTTGCCTTAATATCTCAGTGATATGTAGCTCTGCAAAGGTGTAGCTGATTGCTGTTGGTTCCAGTTTCATCACTGAATCATTGTTAATAGTGTTGTGATTTGGACTCTTTTTTGTGTATTTCAGGGCAGGTGACATTACAGAGTTAAAAATTCTGGAGATACCAGGTCCTGGAGACAACCAACATTTTGGAGATCTTCATCAGACGGAATTAGGCCCCTCTGGTATTGGGTTCCAAGTAGGTATCAATCAGAATGGCACAGGCAAATTGGTCAAGAAGCCAGCGTCTACCAGCAGTGCCCCTCAGAATATCCCTAGGAGGACAGATGTGAAGAGCCAAGATGTTGCCATTTCCCCACAACAGCAGCAGTGCTCAAAAAGCTATGTGGACAGGCACATGGAATCCTTGAGTCAGTCTAAAAGTTTCCGTCGTCGGCACAACTCGTGTAAGTAGTTCAAGTTGATAATTTTGTTGTAACTTGGTATTTGAGGACTGTAAGCACCTCTCCACTGCTGCTTTATAAATAGGTTCTTTATTATCCTAATAATAAAGGATGCTGGCAGAGCATCACAGAAAAAAATAGCCTGGTTCTTTTAATGCAGGACTATTCTGTCACAGTATTAAGGAAAAGGAAATGAACTGTTAACAGTCTCATACCAGCTCCTTGCCCTTTCTCACCACGTCCCTTCCTTAAAGAAAAGTAATTTATCTGCCTTGAGTTCTTATGGAGAAAAGTGGCATTTTTAATATGGTAACTAGTGGTGAAGCTAATGGCTGAGTTGAATCTGGGCTTGAACTGTTCCAGGGGATACTTGATAACTTTTCTTGTGATTTGGCTCCCACCCATTAAGGGCTGGGCATCTCTGTATCTTAGAGTTTCTGACAACTTAAAATTTGCTTTATTCACTGTCCCTACTGACACAGCAAGGAGATAATGCACTAGCTGGAAAATTGATGTCTTGTTTGGTCCTAGTAGATTGTTGAGTGCCGTTTGTTCATTATAGAACTGTTAAAATTTCAAAAATTGAGTGAATGTATTTAAAACAGGGCACTTTCTTTTGGAGATCCCAGATACCAGTAACTGTCTGAACTGACAGATTGAAAGGAATGGTTGAAAACTTGAGACTAAAATTACATTATTATATTTTTTAATATCCTGTACAATGCTTGGATGAAAACTGACTCTTCCCATTTAGCCTTTGATTTTCTCTACTTTTATCCTCTTAAATTCAGATATCCCGTTTATAATCTATCCATGCACTTGGAGATAATCATTAGAATTTGCATCTTTTTCTATATATTTTCCCCTTTTATGGTCTTATGGTAGTATGAATGGAATGTTTGCTTCTGTGCTATGCTCCTTGGAAGGGAGTCATTGTGTATAACCAACACCTAAGGGGGAAAAAAATTAGATTCTCTCTTCTGGAAGGCAGAGTATCTACAGAAATTATTTGGAAATCTTCTGTACCAGCGATCTGTCTTTTTGCCCCCATTTATTTCTTCAGTCATTTTGAAACCAGTATTTATTATAGGTATTTATTTCATACTCTAGGTTATAAATCAATACTGTGTTATTTTGATGCTCAGAGTGTTTCAGCTTGGCAGTTGGCTACTGTATTCTTTTGACATGACCCACCATTGTGGAGTTTTTTCCCCCTAATACTTCCTTTTCTGGCACTAAAGATGCTATAGGCTTATCTTCAGTATTTCCTGCTCTAACCCTAGAATTAGCCTTTGTCTCCAAGGAACCCTGTTGCCATTTGTTGGAGAATGGTATTAGGACCCAAGATCTGGCTTGGGTATTACCCCTTCAGCTGGCAAAGCAGGGGCAAATGTATACACATAGGGGGATACCTAAGTGAATACAAATCAGTGTATGTGAACATATCTATAAATATTTCTGTGTGTAACTATATAAAACTAAGTTCATATTCATGTCTCCAGTTCTAATCCATTGCCTCATGGATCATTCTATGCCCCTCCTTTTCTTTTCTGTTTTTTTTTTTTTTTTTTTAAGATTTATTTATTCATACAAAATTGGGGTATATGCCAGAGGTGCAGGGGCAAGTGAGAGGATTCACCAGAGACAGAGTGGGGAGCAGAGCAGGCAGATTGATGAAGTACACTGCTGAGGGGAGCAGCAGGCGAAACAGGAGAGGTCTACTGCACCATGTGGGTCAGCTCCCTGGCCATGGATCAAACTTGTGTTGAAGTGGCTGCAGTTAGCTTTTAGTGCTTTGTTGCATTCCAAGGAGGGACCCCCTTTTCTTTTTTCTTGAGATTTATTTTTATTTATTTATGCATACAAAAACTGGGTGTGGATCAGAGGTGAAGAGGAGGGTAGGTGAGAGAATTCACCAGAGACAGAGGAAGAAGCAAAATAGGCAGATCTACTGAAATACACTGCTGAGGGGAGCAGTAGGCAAGACAGGAGAGGTCTGCTGTGCCCTGTCGGTTGGCTTCCTGGTGGGGAGTTGAACTCATGCTGCAGTGGCTGACAATAGCTTCATAGTGCTAAGACTTAACTCCTGTGCCACCCAGGTGGCATCCCCACTTTTCTTACTGATGTAATTTCTTATCCAACAATGAGAAGCCTGTCTCCTACCATCTACCATTCATTGACTTAAATTACTGAATTCTTGTATGAGTAAAGCAGGATCAGAATCACTAACACCTACTCTCACCCCCTCCATTCACTTACTTCATACATTTTTTTCAGATTGTTTTGTCAAATTTTGCATTTCATCCTCCAAACTACTCAGTGACTTTTTAAAAAATTTGCATGCATTAAGGCTCATGCTGTCTAAAGCTCTACCATTTTTTAAAAACACAGAATTTTGTATATATCACTGCAGTGTTATACAGAACCTTGTATTAATTCACTCAACCTTCCCTTAACTCCATGATCCCTACCCCATCCCATTTGTATTTTCAGAGTATCATGTAATTAAAATCACAACAGATTTCAGACTGATTTCTTTCACTTAGTATGCATTTAAGATTTGTCCATGTCATTTGTTGTTTGATAGTTCACTTCTCTGAATAAATATCCCATTGGTAAGGATGTGTCAGAGCTTGTTTATTCATTTACCTATTGGACATTTTGGTTACGGCCCACTTTTGGTGACTGTGCATAAAAGCACTGTAAACATTTGTGTGCAGGTGTTATGTGGACGTAAGTTTCAGATCAATTGGGTGAATTCCTAGCAGTGCACTTGCTGGATAGTATAGTAAGATCGTCACTTTATTAAGAATTATAGCAACTCTGTTTAAAGATGGCTGTTAACTTCAAAGTAAGTCATGTATTTGTTCTTTAACAAGTCAGTTATTTATTTATTTATTTTTAAGATTTATTTATGCATACAGAACTGGGCTTACAGGCCAGAGGTGCAGGGGCGGTGAGAGGATTCACCAGAGACAGAGTGGGGAGCAGAACAGGCCGACTGACCAAGTACACTGCTGAGGGGAGCAGCGGGTGGGTCAGGAGAGGTCTGCCCAGCCATGTGGGTCACCTCCCGGGTGGGATCAAATTCATGCTGAAGTGGCCTTAGCTTCTCAGTGCTGTGTTTTAACCCATTGCGCCACCAGGAAGGGCCTGTCACTGTTATATTTAAGAATTACTTTTAAAAATACACCCTCCCTGGTTGAAGCTTACTCTGCTTTTACTGCTTAACCCATTCTCTTTACCTAGATTACTAACTCCATGTATAGCTAAAGAGATCATGGGCAGTAAACTGTTAACTCTCTTTCAGAGAACTTCTTTTAAGTCCAGATTAGTGTGGAAAAAGACTTTGGCCTGGGAATCTGATGATGAGATGTGGCTCAGTATTGATTTCTGATAGAAGGTAGAGTTACATTTTTTATAGTGAGCCCTGTATGATGCAGAGAAGGGGCTGAATAAATTAACTTATTTAGCACTATATAACAGGATATAAGGGTATTTCTTCCCATGATAATTATAGTGTAGGTTACTAGTATTTTCTCATTAGAGATCTGTAAGTAGAATTTTCTCCATTATGGGTGCATTGGTATTGAGACTCTTAAATTGATAAAACTATTGGGATATAATATCTTCTGTTTTTGCTTTTTAAGTATTCTCTCCAGATTAGAAATGAATTGCTGAGGTATTTATGGTTTCTAGCTACCTAATGTAACATTGATGAGAGCTGTAGCACAAACAGGTTATAATCTGTTCTTTTAGGTTGTGGATGGTGGTGGAAAAGTTATAAAAAGTGTTTCTGTGACCTTGGCATTGAACTGACCACTCTGAATATTTGCTATTTGTATGAAGTGGAACATGAGGACCAGGGAGTGGAGGAAGACCAGTTGAGGTTTTCCTCAAGGAAACTTCCCAGTAAGATACAGATCTGTATATGGTCTGTCAGCGTAGGAGTAATCCCACCATCTGAGATTACAACTTACTTTTTGCCAAGTTTTCACAGTTCAGCTGTAACATCTTAATCTCCCTGGATGTTCTTCATGTATACCCAGCAAACTTAAACCCTAGAGCTGCTGCTAGAATATAAGAAGTTGACTATTTACGAGGCCCTCTAACTGAAAGATCTCAGCTACCTGAAAGCACCTTCTCACAAAGTCCATTGAGCCTGGCACTAAAACATTTGCAGTTTGACCTGCAGGTGCCCTTTAGTGTGCTTAAATCCTGGACAGGGTTCCACTTCACAATATGTGTGTGACAAAAGCTAATAAATAAGTGGCACTGAGGGTTTCACAACAATGGTTTTGTTATTAGTTATCCTGGCCAAAGGACCATGTGCCAAAGGCTGGCAGCAAAATGGCATAGAACACAGCCAGCCTCCAGTCTTAACACATACTTGGCCCTTTGAAAATTAAAGAAATCTGGGAAGCACCGTTTATCTTTTCCAAGGGAAATTCTTTTCTCTCCCAGTGGCCAAAGGCCAATTTATTACAAAGTGAGGCCCTTTAGGCTGAGTAAGCTAAAGATTGAGGAAACTTACTCCAGTCAGGATGCCCCAGTATTTATATTAAAGGATGAGGAAAGGGAAGAATGAGAGACAACTGAACATGGTGGCCTGCCTTTCATTATTTTATATTCTCTTATCTTTTTCTTGCTGAACTGTGATGTTGGTATTTCCTCTTGGAAATTTTTTTTTCACTCTGCTTTCCTGACAGTATTTGGAAGATAGCTAGCTTTAGTATATATTTGTTAAATGAAGAATACAGGAAGATCCTGTATTCAGCCCAAGGAAATGCCTAATATCCTCTAAAGATATAGCTCTGGCTTTGGTTGTAAGTTGTTTGTCGAGTCTTGTGGCCAAGCCAAAGTGGTTTTCCATTTTGTTGCTTCTACTGTGTATTCTTATTCTCTCCCATTGATTAATTGCTTGTCTTCCTATGGCACTGTGATAGGTCTGGGCTAGGGCATTGTCAGTTCATATTGGACATGACTGAACTCCTTTCTTCTGA